AATAGTATGGTATTCCGATACCCTCCTCGCTCAGGCGGGGCCTCCCTGGAGGGGTGGGAGGGGTGGTATGGTATGCTATGGTATGGTATGGTATGGTATGGTATGGTATGGTATGGTATGTGTGGTAGGAACTATGGTATGGTATGGTGTGTGTGGTAGGAATAATCTTGTGCTGTATGGAAGATGGAGCGGGAGGTGGGTGGGAAGGAGAGGGTGTTCTGGGAAAACAAGAACCCCACTCAGGATGTGGGGAAAAACATAAGGACAGCCTGAGGCAATTCGATTTCCTGTCGAAAACATAAGGACAGCCTGAGGCAAACTGTGAAACACTCAAGGAACGCGGAGCCCCTCCCCAACAAAAAGGGTTCCTTCCTCAGGGCCCCGACTGTATGCCTGTGTATGCCTGTCCCCCCCCCTGCCGTTGTTCTCGGGAGCGGCCAAGAGGGGGGTGTCCAAGAGGGGGGGGTGCAAATCATGACTGGCGGCATGTGCGCGGCCCAGCGGGGGGACCTGGGACGTAATAAAATAAGAAGAGGCGCCATGAAATCTGAGGAAAAATCACGGCCCGCGCCATGAAATCCCCCCCCCCCCCTAGTCATCACCCCCCTCTTCTTTTCCGCCTCCGATGTTCCTGACGCCCCCCCCCTCCCCGCCGGGCACCTCCAGGGCCCGTCGAGAGCCGCCCTCTCCGCTGCGGAGCCGTGTGTTTTCTCTGTGGGGGCTCGTGCGGGGGAGCAGAGGAACCGCCCCCCTTCACAAGGCGGCGGCGAGCGAGGGGGTGGTGGTGGTGGTCGGGCCTAAACGATTGCTCCGCCCGTCTAAATGCCCAAAGGCCTGCAACATCTGAAAACTGAAGGCAAGGGAAACGAACGCGGTGCTAAAGGATGGCGCTAACATGCTGTGTGCCTAACATGTGGCAGAGGGGGGGAGCGAGAGGGGGGGGGGAGCGAGAGGGAGAAGGCCTTCTCGGAAGGCGGCGGGAAGTTTCAGAAGTGTGCTGCGCCTTCGGGGAAGGCTCCGAAGACTTCTCAGAAGGCCGGGGGGCTCGCGAGCCTTCCGAGAAGGCCTTCTCCTTTTCGCGTCCCCCCCTCGCTCGCCGCCGAACGAGAAAAGCAGCCCTGGAAACGATGTGACCCCCAGCACCTAGCAAACGAGTCCCGAGGCAGGCATCGGGCAGGGCCACACTGCTTGAGTAGCGCGCAGGGCTGTTTACTCGGCACCGCTCGGACGTCCGTTCCCTGTACATGGTTCGGCTTGGTGCGCGCACTTTTCTTGCAAGATGACCCAATCTGCTCCTCGATGGTCCTCACCAAGAAAAGATGCACACGTCCGAGCGATGCCAAAGTTCCAGGAGACGCACAGGGCTGCTTCGTAAACGCCAGTTATGGGCGTCGGGCTGGCTTTCCCCACTTGGTTTCTCTCCTCACTTGCCACCCGCCCATTCCCCGTGCATTTGTCCTTTTCGCGCGTGCCATGCATTCGCAAGATGATCCAGGATGCTTATCGATGGTTCTCGCCGAGGAAAGATGCATACGTCCGAGCTACGCCAAGAATTAGCAATCGCCAGTTATGTGGGTCGGGCTGTTTCTTCCTTACCTGAGCGGCGATCAAGAACGGGTCTTACGCAAGATGGCACCACGACCTTCCGCCGCAGCTTGCGCGGCCGCCAGCGCGGCACGCCACGAGGGAGACGAGGGCGCTCGCTCGCGACCTTACGCGAGCAGCTCACGCGCGAATGCCGGCGCAGACGACCCCTCCCCTACCCCTGCTTTGCGTCGCTCGCTTGGCTGTTTCTCTCCTGCGCTGCCAAGAGCCGCGGGCCCGATTCTCGGTCGGCCGGTCGGGCCGGCCCTCGCTCGGGCGGGCGGGCGGCCCTGGGAGGCCGAGGTGCACGTGCACGTGTCCCTGCTCGGAGCTCGACTCGACCCTCGACGTGGAGCGCTTCGGCACAGACGTCAACGAGCAAAGCATCGGCGTTGAGATACACGAGCGCAGAGCAGACGAGCTGAATGGAACTGCCAAGCCATCTGCTCCTCCCCCGAGAATTCTTCTTTTCCTCGTCCTCCTCCTCATCCTCTTCCTCCTCATCCTCCTCCTACCCCGTCACGACAGCATTCTAGAGCATGACGTCCAGAAGATGGGAAAGACCAGACTGAAGCTGCAGCAGGGGACAGAGCGGGGGTCTGGCTTCATCTGCTTGGTGAGCGAGTACACCTCCAGGGCCTTCGGGTTGGCGTAGGCGTTGCAAATTATCAGGCTGTGCGTAACCTGCACAGAGAAGCGAAAGGCAGCACCAGCCTAAACTTGTGCAGGACTGTGCAGATTTCGTGGGTCGGCTCTGGACAGGGCTAAACCTGAGCGTTGTTTTTCGTTTTCGTTTTGGTTTCGTTTTCCCTCGTTGTGTCTTCACTCCGCCTTTACTGCAAAACGAAATCGAAACGAAAACGGCCCACGAACGCGCCGATAAACCGTTTAGGTCCACCCCTGGCTCTGGACGCTCCCCCCTTGGCGTGCCGAGCGAGCCAGGTGCGGCGCCCGAGGCGCCGCCAGAAGGGGCCAACGCCGACCCAAGAAACTCAGGCGGACATCCGACGATTCATGCTCGTGCTTATGATGGGCATGTTGTCCACCACCACCACCACCATATGTTTGAGGGGGAGGGGGTCCTCCTCCTCCTCCTCCTCCTCCTCCTCCTCCTCCTCCTCCTCCTCCTCCTCCTCGTCCTCCACCTCCTTCCCCCCTCCAACTGATGGTGGTGGTGGAAAACAAGCCCATCATGCTCAGTTGGCCGCGAAATAGGCATGGCCGTTTATTCACGGTTTACGAACAAATTGCTCTTGAACATGGAAGCGGTGAAAACCAAAAAACGGCGAGTGGGAACGGCAAACAAACGGCTCCGGGATTGGAACTTGAACCGAACGTGGGCATGAACGGCCACGAAACCGGGGTAAGAGACGGCGCCAGAACAGCAAATAGACTGCCAAACGGAAACGGCTGAGAAGGCCCTGTCGTTTCCAGGGACAAGTAAGTTGCGATGCACATGGGCATACTAATACTCTGCGACCGCCTCGAAGGCGTGCGTCGGACCCGAACATTCGTACAGCCATCTTGCAGCATACCGCTTCCCGAGCGGTGCGGCCAGACAACGTCCGCCACGAAGCATATACTACGAGATGTCTTGGCGCGCGCTTTGCCGCTTCGGAGTGACGCACACATAGCACTGGTATCCGACGAGTGCTCGTGTAGCTTCGTCTTATGTTTCTAAATATTGGTAGTAGCACAAATATTAAACTTAAGTTGAATTATTATTCTGTGCTATCTGCATGTGTGGTACCAGGTTAGTCATTGTCAGTATCGTCTTCCCCGTCTTATCTTTATTACGATCATCAATATAATTCATACCAACAGCCATTAGTATTATCTTGTATTGAACTTAAGCCAACGCATTCGCCATCAGTATTACACACTCTGCCTCCAAATTCGGAACATGCGCAGCCAACCCGATGCGGCCCCCCCCCACACCATCCCTTACAAAAAACAATATTGAGTACACTTGGCGGCGGCGGCGGCTGCTGCGGCGGCACCGGCTGCGGCGGCTGCGGCGGCGGCGGCGGCTGCGGCGGCTGCGGCGGCGGCGGCGGCGGCGGGGGCGGCGGCGGCGGCGGCGGCGGCGGCCGGCGGCGGCGGCGGTACCGCGGCAGCGGCTGCGGCGGCGGTTTGGCAGCGGGGGGCGGCGGCGGCGGCGGCGGCGGCGGCGGCGGCGGCGGGCGGCGGGCGGCGGCGGCGGCGCGGCGCGGCGGCGCGCGGCGGCGCGGCGGCGGCGGCGCGGCGGCGGCGGGCAGCGGCGGGCGGCGGCGGCGGCGACAGCGGCGGCAGCGGCGGCAGCGGCGGCGGCGGCGGCGGCGGAGGCGGCGGCGGCGGCGGATGCGCCCCCAGTAGCTGCCCAGCCAAAGGCGACTGCTGAATATGCTGAAGCTCGGGCCAGGCTCGGGTGCTACGTATGTTTTAGGAGGGCGGGTGGGAGTGAGCGAGACGGTTTGCGGGCGGGGAGGGGGTCTTGACCCCTCCCCCTACCTCTTCCCCCTGGACCTGGACGGGGGGGGGCGCGGGTCGTTGGATGGTCCTTTTTCGCCCAAAATGGCTCCACGAGGGCCTCAAAGACCCAAGATGGCCTCCAAGATCGCTCAAGATCGCCCAACATGGCTCAACATAGCTAACAGCATGCCCCCAGGAGGCTCCAAAAAAAACACAAGACGGAACCAAGTGCTTTTGGCGACCCCTCAGGACCTCCTCGAGAAGCCACAACTCGAAACGGCCTAAGAAACATCCAATCTGACCCCAAGACAACACAAGAGGTCCCCAAGAGAGCCCCAGCACTGTCGAAGAAGGCCCCAGACCCTTAGCACAACCCCCAAATTATCCCGGCAAAGCAACCTAACAGCGATGTGTGGAAGCATATCTGAAAGCATTCCCCTTAAGATTCAGATGAAAATCCAGTTGTAGAATTCTGCTGTTCTCGCAGTCGTAGTCGCATTCGCGATGACAGTCGCAGCGGCAACGGCAGTCGCAGTCACAGCCTCAGCCTCAGCCTGCCTCAGCCTCAGCCTCAGCCTGCCTCAGCCTCAGCCTGCCTCAGCCTCAGCCTCAGCCTGCTTCAGCCTCAGCCTCAGTCTGCCTTCAGCCTCGGCCTCAGCCTCAGCCTGCCTCAGCCTCAGCCTGCATCAGCCTCAGCCTCAGCCTCAGCCTGCCTCAGCATCAGCCTGCCTCAGCCTCAGCCTCAGCCTGCCTCAGCCTCAGCCTCAGCCTGCTTCAGCCTCAGCCTCAGTCTGCCTTCAGCCTCGGCCTCAGCCTCAGCCTGCCTCAGCCTCAGCCTGCCTCGGCCGCAGCATCAGCCTGCCTCAGCATTCAAAAAAATGTGGCCCGGGAATGGAGTTCTGGGAACTAGAAGAACACGAAGTGGCCTACAGTTTGGCTCCGGGCATTCAAAATCATGCCCGGGAAAGAAGTTCTGGGAAGTCGAAGAGCACGAAGTGGCCTACAGTTGGCTCCGGGCATCCAAAATGTGGCCCGGGAATGGAGTTCTGGGAAATCGAAGAGCACGAAGTGGCCTACAGTTGGCTCCGGGCATTCAAAATGTGCCCGGGAATGGAGTTCTGGGAAGTCGAAGAGCACGAAGTGGCCTACAGTTGGCTCCGGGCATCCAAAATGTGGCCCGGGAATGGAGTTCTGGGAAATCGAAGAGCACGAAGTGTGTGACTGTTTGCAAAAAAACGAATGCGGCGGCAGCCGCGGCGGCAGCTTGTCCGGGTCCCGCCCAGACCCCCCTGAGGAGTCATGATGCTCTCTTTTGAGACCACTAGAAACCTATCAGCAAGAGCTGTTAGGGAAAAAGGCTCCAACGCAGCCCAGAAGACCTCCAAGACGGCCCCTGCAGCGCCCCGGAGGCCCAATACGGCCCAGAGGGATCCCCGAGAAGGCCTCCGAAAACCTCAGGGAGGCCAAGGCCAAGGGCGCGCCGAGACGGCCCAAACAGGCCCACAAGCAGCCCCCGAGGGGCCCCTGGGTGGCCCTCCAGGAACCCACAGGGCCCCAGGAGCCCCCCCGCGGCGGCCCAACGACATGCCAGGATGCCACGCTCGCGGGCCAGCTCCCTTGAGGGGGTCCCGCCGTGGCTGCCGCTTTGCGGGCTCGTTCGTGCACTTGCGATGTTTCCCTGGGGCCCCCACGATCGCTCCCAGGCGGCCCAAGAAGCTCCAACAAATTGTTCCAAGAGGGCCCCAAGGCGGCCCAAGAGACTCCCAAGGCCCAACTCAGCCTCAGAAGATCCCAAAAAGGCCCCAAGAGGGGCCTCAAGGCTTCAGAAAGAGCTCCCAGGACCTCTCAGAGGGCCCCAGTAAGGCCCAAACGAACCCAAGAAGCCTCCAACATGTCCCCAAAAGGGCCCCACGATGGCCCTACCGTCACCACGGCATGAGTCACTGGCGTTCGCGAGTTCCCTTTTGGGGAACCCGCCGTGGCTCCCGCTCTGCGGGCTCAATAATTATCTTGCGATGTCCTCCGAAACGGTGATGTCCTGGCAGCGGTGTTGGGTGACTTGTGCTAAGCCAAGGGGCTTCAGTTGAACACCCACTGAAACACAGATGTGCTACTGACCATCGCTTCAAATTACCTCTGGCGTTTTGGGCCAACGACATGGGGGGCAGTATGGCGCAATCGGTGCCCAGTCACACCACCAAGCTTTTCGGATGCGAAGCTTTGGCTCGCCCGAGAGGGTGTACGCAAGGAGGCGAACAATAACAATATACTCGATTCGTCATTAGGGTACGCAAAGGGGGCGGACACACATAACATCAATTCTGCTCTATTCGCGACATGGCGCGCTCGAGACGGGCATCTCCTCATGTTTGCTTGTTGGCAGCGCCCGAGCTTGACCAGGTCTCGACAACCAACCCAACCCAATCCTCCGCTTCATTTTCCTCAAGTCAGGATCAGTCAACATCCAGGGGCCTCCTAGATGGGGTCGGAGTAGAAGGGGTCGGCGGACTGCGCTGCATCGCCCATACATTGGCGATGCATCTGGGACGAAAATAATCGATTGCCACAACATGCTATTGATACGTTCCGGGGATTCTGGGATTTCTAACAGTCTTCGCTCGGGGCGCACTTTGAGCCGAGTGTTGTCTACCCTGGCTGGCGCCGCTGGTCGGTCACCCATTCGCAAGCGAGTGGTCGCCCGTAGGGGGGTTATTTGGCACTTGCTGATCCCGTTCCCGTTGCCGAGCACGGGGGGACGGTGGCGCACCGCCTCCATCGCCCGCCGTCGCGCACCACGCGCTTCGGCGGATTCCCAAATACCTGAAAAGGCAAACCACGCGCGACTCTGGAAACTTCTCCAAGGCGAAATCTGAGAGAACAAAAAAACGAGCATGTTTTGAACATGCCCAGCCTACTTTTTAGAAAAAACCCGAATCGATTTTGAAAAAATCCGGGATCGAATCTGAAAGATTCCTGAAGCCATCCTGAAACATTCCAGATTTCAGAAGTATTCAGATGTCCTGCGCGGCGGGCGCATTCCACCCCTCAAAACTGCTTCTTGGAAAAAGTCCGGGCTCCTGTTAAAACAAAATCCGGAACCGCTTGCGCCAAAAAACGGAAGCGTTTTTTCTGAAAAAAACTGCACTCCATAAATAATTTCCGGGCGGTCCGACGGGCGCGGCCAGCAAATTTCACGCACCGCGCTGCGCGCGATTGGGCGCAGCGCGCGCCGCGCGGTGCGGCCGCGAACAGCACTCGAAGGGGTTGCCTCAAAAACAGCGCCACGGCAGCTGCGACTCGCAGACTCCCCAAGAGCAACACAGCATGCAGCTTGGAATCTCCGAGGGCGCTCCGATATGCGAAAAATGCACCGCGCACGTCACGCAAAGAACCTGCGCGACGGAATGCGCTCGACCATTCGTCCCTGGAGCCCGCGCGGAAGAACAGGAAAGCCTGAAAATCTTGAAACCTATCAATATCAATACTCCATGCTCCTCTGAGCATCGGCGGCGATGCATCGGCGATGCATCGTCGACGTCGGCGGTGCATCGGCGACGTCGGCGTGAAGCAAATCGGGCTCCGAATGGAGCAGCATCGGCGATGCGTCGGCGATGCGGCGCGATCCTCCGACCCCTCTGCTCCGACCCCACCCGGGAGGCCCAGAACATCGAACCGGGAGGCTCGCAACGGCGTGTGCCTCGAAGCGCGCCGCATCGGCACGGAGTCGGAGCCGGAGTCGGATCGGCCACGCCAGGATGCGCAGCAGCGCCTGTGCAGACATCGGGGCCGCGGTGGAGCGTCGGGACGCCGACATCGAGTCGGATCGGTTCGGGCGGACCTGCTGATGGGCCTGTTCTCCGCCACCACCACCATGAGTGGGAGGGGGAGGGGGTCCTCCTCCTCCTGCTCCTCCTCCTCCTCCTCCTGCTCCTCCTCCTCCCTCCTCCTCCTCCTCCCTCCTCCTCCTCCTCCTCTCTCCTCCTCCTCCTCCTCCTCCTCCTCCTCCCTCCTCCTCTCCTCCTCCTCCTCCTCCTCCTCTCCTCCTCCTCCTCCTCCTCCTCCTCCTCCTCCTCCTCCCTCCTCCTCCTCCTCCTCCTCCTCCTCCTCCTCCTCCTCCTCATTCCCCTCTCCAACTTATGGTGGTGGTGGTGGTGGAAACCGGGCCCCACACCGCGCGGTGGGCGGCGCAGGAGGGGCTAATGCGGGATTGTGCTCAACTCTGTGCGGCTCCGTTGTCGCTGCTCGTCCTGTTGTCGTAAGAACTCTACTGCCAGCTGGGTGGCGAGGGGCTCGCCGAGGTGCCGTCGTTGTGCGCGGTCGAGTGCGGTGCCTACTCTGCTTTCGTCTCGGCTGCCTCGCCGTCGCAGCGAGCTGGACCCCGAGCGCGCCGCCAGTGGCCCGCGGGCCCGGGCGCGGGCCTCCCGCGGCCGCGCGGGGCGCGCCGGGCGCCCGCGGAGCGCTCGCGGCGGGGCGCGGCCGCCGGAGAGGCCTCCCGCGGGCCGGAGAGCCGCCGAGGGTCGACGGAGCACGCGAGGGTGCCCAGACCTCGAGCTTCGAATCTCCGACGCCGCTCCTCCTCCTCCTCCTCCCCTCCTCCTCCTCCTCCTCCTCCTCTTCTCCTCCTCCTCCTCCTCCTCTTCGGTCCGGGGGCACCCGAGGGGGTCCCCACCCCCAACGCCCCTCTCCGACGCCCCTCTCCAAGCAGCTGCGCGCAGGAGTGACCCTGGGTAAGAGTGCCCTGTGGTGCGCTGCTTCTGGGAGGCCGCGGAGGGCCTAAACACAGGCGCGCAAGACACCACGATCGCGTTGCCTTCGGCGATCGGGGGACCCCAATGTGCCCGCACCAACGGTCACTCTGGCGAAGGGTCACTCTTACGTCAAGTCGATCCAAGTGGGGGGCCGCCGTGGGCGATCGGACAGCCCCAACGGGGCAGCCCAGGCAGCCGAGCAGGGGCGCGAGACATCGCGGGGCGACGGGTGGGAGCAGGGCTGGACCTACACGCAGTGTGTGTCGTTTGTTATGTTTTCGTTGTGTGTGCTTCGTCTTGCTCTGCCGGCTTGCCCGCACCTTCCTGCCAAAACGAGCACAACACAGCCGAAGTCCTGCAAAACAGCGTTTAGGTCCAGCCCTGGGGTGGGAGGGCAGGGTGGGGGGGCAAGCGGGGTGCGCTCGCGCCAAACCTGGCATTATCCCCCTCCTGCCCATCCCTTCCCACTGTGCTGCCGTTTCTGCATCCGCCGACGGTGGTCTTTGCCGACCCTGCTCCCCGCAACTACCCCCCTATCGTGCGATGCGCTATCCGAAAAGGGAGTTGGGTACGTTGGAGGGAAAGGAGGAGGTGGCGGATGAGCAAAAGGAAGGGGTGGATGTCCTCCTCCTCCGCCTCCTCCTCGCACTTAGCTCCGACCTCTTCCTCCTCCTCCTCCTCCTCCAGGAGGATGAGGAGCAAGAGCAGCAGGAGGAGCGGGAGGAACAGCACGACCAAGGAAGGCGGAGGAAGGAGCATGAGGCTGCGACAACGACAAAGCCAGGAATGTCGCGCTGGGGCGAGAACGCCATACGACGGGAGAAGAGCTGCGCTCCTGACACGAGGCCATCGCTGCAGCAGGGGCACGATTTTGAAACATTAAAGTCGCCCTTATTGGACAACGCACATACAGCCAACAACTACGTATGTTTACATGCCGCGTGCGAAGCAACCATACGCAGAATAGGCGGGCACACGACGGGAACGGTACAGGAGAGAGACGAGAATAGTAATCACATTGAGCACCTGTGGGGGAGGAGCTCACATGGCTGCGGCAGTCGGGTGGAGGGGAGGAGGAGTGTGAAGAGGACGGAAGGAGGCGGCGGATCGGATCGGATCGGCAGGCCAAGCAGGCTGCTCGAAGAGAAGGCCACCGGGGGGTGGAGCACATATATATATATACATATATAAATACATAAACATATATATACATGTATATCTATACAGCTTCAGCCCTTGGCCCCAAATGAGGGGGAAGGAAAAAGGGGGAGGAGGCGGCGGAGGATGAGGAGGATATGAAGTACGAGGGGGAGGACGAGGCCGAAGAAGCGAGAAAGATGAGAGGATGAGGCGAAGAGGGATAAGGAGCACACGGATGAGGAGGGGGTGGAGGAAGAGGCGCAGGATGAGGAAGGGGAGGAAATCCATCCTGTTCCCGAGGGCAGCGATCGAGAGAGGAAGCAGCACTGAGCGCGGAGCGTTGCCGTCCACATCCTTGACAATTGACCTCGGGGCGATGACACCCTCCACAGACCACACTGGTAGCTCGCGTTCGCAATGACCCCCTGACCGATGGCATGCGCATTCGCTGCGCAACCTAACTCGCAGCCGTTCAGTGCATGAATGACGCGTGTGCGCATGAATGACCTGAAGCTCAGAACTTGCTCCCGCGGACGCACTCCAGCTGAATCGGGCCAATAGTCTGCGACATTGGCAGGGTGGACTGAGCAGCAAGCGACAGCCAGTCTGAATGCGTCACTCCTCCTCCTCTCGTCCTTCTCTCGCTGACTCATTCTCATTGTCCCCGTTTTCCTGGGATCTTTCTCCTCCTCATCCTCCTCCTCCTCCGCCTCCTCCTCATGCCTCCCTCCTCTTCGTCTTCCTTTTCCCGCTCGCCTTCTCCTCCACCGGGGACCAACAGCGCGGCGGCGGAGTGGAACGTCGAGCGACAACTCGCCGTCGTCAGCGGCAGCAATAATGATCATACGACTCGGCTGGCACTTGAACACAAGCGCATCCTAGCGGGGAACCAAACATGACGAATAAACAACACACACCCGTACACATAGGGGGGTCGAAAGGAGGAGGACTGGCTATAGGCATTGGTGCGGATTGCCGGACCCCTGAAGAGGCTCCCGTTCGAGCCGGGACCCCCATCCGAGAACACGCACCCCTAGCCCCCCCTCCGACCCTCTATGGGCATGTGCGTGCTGTTCGTTCGTGAAATAACTTCTGGCGGGCTCCTGTCGCTTCTGGCACCGCGTGGATCGCCCACGACGCAGCGAGCGCGGCCTGTCTGACCGCAGAATCGTGTGAGGCTGGCGGAGCTCAGGCCACCAGAGGCGCTCCACCCTTGAACGCCCGCGCTGCCACCGCCGCGACGATACCGTACGACACGAACCTACCGCAGGCCGTGGGCTCCACTGTTGGAGGCGGCCGGGGGGTCTGACCCGGATGGGCCCCGAGAAGAGCTGGCAAGAAGGGAGGAGGAGGCCAAAACCGCGACGGCGCCAAACATTCGCAATGCCAGGCCAACTCAGACACCCATGGGAGGCGGACACATCCAAGTCACGATCACGTTAAGGCCAGCGTGCAACCACAATGCGATCGGCAAGAGGTGACATGCACACGGCACATAGAAAACCCCAAATGGGTTGCGAGCTAAGTGTTAGCACTCTGGCAGGTAGATCCGCTCCGCGCATTTATGCAGCTCATATACTACACACAACCCAAAGGAGGTGGTCAGGCAACCACCGACTCCGTGGCGCGAGAGAAGATACCAAAACAGCGCTAGGACAGGATTTGTTGTGGACGTGGGCTAGGATGCCAGACACCCAGATGGCTCCGATTCCACTGTGCCCTCCTTTTGCCATCCCTTCCCCTCCTGCACCCCAGCAGTGGCGCCACGCGTGCGCGGTGGGTCCGCGGGCCCCCAGCGGCCTGCTTCCTGTGTCCTTCACAGTCACCGTAGCGATGCCTGCCGCCACGC